TCTTTCTTCTTAGAATCTGTAAAACAAAGGATGCAAGCTCTCCTAGGCCCTCCATTTCTAGCTCTCTCTCTCTCCCAATAAACTATTGTGTGGTCTCCTATTGTTGTAAGGAATTACTACAAACTCAGTAACTTCAAACAGTGCTTATTTATCACCTCCCAGTTGTGGAGGATAGAAGCTTGCAATGGTGTTGGCAGGACTGTTTCCTTTGGTGGCTCTTGGGAAATCCACTTTCTGGTCTTTTCCAGCTTCTAGAGGCTGCCTGTGTGTCTTCCTGGCTCCCTCCCATCTTCAAAGTCGTGGATGTCCTGGAGAGTCTTACATCACATCTGGAGGACACTGACTCTTCTGCTTCCTGTCTTCTTAAATCAGTCTTTGTGATTACATTGGAGCATCCCAGGTCATCCAGGATAATAGTCCATCCTCAAAACCCACACAGATCTTGATCTTGTTCTAGTATTAGTCTTCCTCGAACAATTACGTTTCTGTGCTCAAGACTTGGGGCTTCCTTGTGCAGATCACCCCAGCCCATTTTCTCAGAACCTGTCTCATCGATCAGGCTACATTAGCAGTAAGCTCAGCTTAGGCCAGAGGACTGGCCTAGAATCAGCTCAGCAGGAGGGTTGGACTACATTGGCTGAGATAGCAATACACTTGCATTGCGGGGCCCTCGTTTTCTCACATTGGACCCCAAGTTAAAGCTAAGCTCAGACAGGCATCACACATAAAAAAAGTGCCTCCCACTTTGCCTTATTTTACACAAGAGAGATTGGGAAGAGCCTCTTCAAGTTACCTTTCCAAATAAAATCGGTTGTAGGAGTGCATCTCACTAAATTCCAGTTGGAAAATTTGGGAATATTCTGGGAAATTTGGTGAGTGGTTCCAAAGTGTAGTGATTGTAAACCCCTGACTCATAAAAGTTGGGGATATTTAAGGTCACTTTGGCATTCTCTTGGAGCAATAGTTGGGACAGAAAGGAGTAGGAGGATAAACACCAGATAGGTGGGACTCCAGCAGGAATGTGAAGAGGAGGAAAATGATAAAAAGTTAAAATTTGAGGAATTTTAACTTAGGAGTGCAGATAATCAAGTTCTATCCCATTATTATTTTATTCCAAATAAATATTACTTTATTGTGTGATACCTTTGGATAACAGACATGACAATGAGTATACAATAGCCAGATCACATACTCTGACCTGGGTGAATCACTACTTCTTACATGTAATTGACCTTCATTTCCCCCCCAGCAATTCCAAGTTGATCAAGGAATGCTCTAATATAAGTCTCTTATTTGTGTATACATAAATATGTATACATGTATATATGCATGCATTTATGTAATATGTAATATGTGTACATGTATATATGCATGCATTTATGTGTTTGCTTAGGTATAAATGAATAGATGCATGCATGCCTATACATATTTCTCTGCATATATAAATGTATATATAGGTATATAAGTATACACATGTGTTTGTTTATGTATTGTTATCATGGGATCAGTAGAAAGAACTGGAATCAAGAATCAAGGTTTTAGTTCTGTCTCCAGGTCCCTTGGAGACTTTAACTGGACCATCTGTTTGCTTATCTATGAAAGAAGATAATTTAGAATAGATTATCTTTTTTACCCTCTCCCATTCCAAATCCTTAAACATCTATCTAGTTTAAGTTGGGTACATTTGCTAAATTACCAGAACTCCACCTTAGCTCTAAATAGGAATCATCCAATGTTTTATCAGAACAAATAAAGACTTCAATCTTTGATAGATGTTTTCTTCCTCTGCTATGCCTATCCTTTTTCTAGATTGTAATTCTGGGGAAAATTTATCTCTTATTCTCTCAATTTTGTCCATCAGTATAAAATGGAACTGAGGAAAGCTATCAGAACAAAGATATTGCAATATAGGAAAATTTTGCTAAGTATCTCTAGAACTTTGAACCCAGCACTTAATCATATCCAAGAACTACATCTTTGTCATACAATAAATATTTGCTCAGCGCTTCATAGGAACATGCAGAAATGTATGTTGGATCTACATCTGACTTTATATTTTCATTAGTCTTTATATTCTGACTTTATATGTCCTCAGTGCCTTTTCACAATATAAATATTCTGTGGTCTAGTGGAGGACACAGACGTTAAGCATACGGTGGTACAGAGACTACAGATAAATTACTATTTGACTATACCATTCAAGGAGCTAGGTGAGATATTGAGAAATATCTGCTGTGACAAACCAGCTTTGTGGCCCAATTCAGTCACTTCTCACTGAAGGCACTAATAGTCCCATATCACAAGGTCCTTCTTGATATAACGTGCTGTAGGAAGCCTTAAACAGTCTGAAGCCATGTTCCTTCCTGACAGTCACTGATTTCATGTGTGCTTTGCTGCTCTGTGATTTGGCAAGATCCTCTATGGTTTTTTTCCTCTCCATTTTATATTTTATTTATTCTATGAATGTTCATTAAACTTTACATTATATGATTGAAATTCAGAAATAAAAGTCAGGGTTTTTTGGGAAAAAAAAAATCAGCAATTTCAAATCAGCTTGTTGGTCTGAGTATGATGAGAACAGTGGAGTCCCTGAGAGTGAAAGCTACAAAACCGATCTTCAGTGGATATTTGGGAAGATGACTCCTTGAAGAACAAGGAGTTAGCAAATGGGGAAGGTGCTGGGTATTGGTGTGGATATTATGTTCATGTGGAAAGAAAAAAGTGGAGGTGGATGATATTATAGCTCCTGCCTAGAAAAGGAGGTCTCGATTCAGGGGCACTATGGACAGCTTCAAGAGCTGGTGACATAGGCAGGGCCAGAATTTGAAGATTAAAGAGGTGAGACTCCAGAGAGGAGGTACTCACTGGGAAGTTTTTAAAGAGGCACTTTCTACATTACTCTATTGGATTTGTTTTGGCTGAGCCAGAAAAGAGTAGGAGGATAAATAATGGGAATGGATGAGAAATTAGGGCCCAAAATCAGGTAGGTTTACCTGCAGGAGCCCACCTGAGCCATGATGAGTGAGTTAAGTGTGACAGCAAAAGAGATAAAGAACTGGGGGGGGGGGCAAGGCATAGAAATACGATGGAATAAGTAGTTTCCTAGATAAGATGGAGACTCTGAGAAGGAAGATTGATGGTTCCCAGATTTCTAGCTGGACAACTCAGAGAGTGAGAGTCTCAACATTGGAGGTGATGATGGAGAGAGAAGTCCAAATTGTGCTTGTGGACAAAATATTAATGCCATTATGATCGGGGTTCCTAAGGGACATCTATGTAGAGTTATCCAGCTAGAAGACAGATAGATGAATGTGAACACAGGAAAAAAGGGTCTGAACAACAGCTGGCAGTTCAGGAAAAGGCAGCAATAAACATTTTAATAAGTGCTTGTGTATCTTAGTAAGAGGCATACAGTCCAACTATAAAAAGTACATTTAAAGTGCAAAATTTGTAAGCCCTCATAAGTAAATAATATTCAATGAAAGAAAGGACAAATTATAGCAAAGCTGTTAGTAGTAGCAAAGATTTCCTATGCAGTTGTTTCTGTTTGTGTTCTGAGCATGAGTATGTATATATGTGACTATATGTGTCTGGGTTGCTATAGATATGTACATACATGCCTATATAAAGATGAACTATATAATAATATTGCATACCTGTACTAGTGTTATATTAGGGCTACATAACAAAATGTCACAGGCTGGTTAACTTAAACCACAGAAATTTATTTTCTCAGATCAAGGTGTGTTCAAGTTAGTTTCCAGTGAGGCCTCTCTCCCTGGAGTTCTCACTCAGACCTCCTCAGGCCTTTCCTCTAAGCCAGCATAAAAATCACAAATGCCTCTTCCTCTTTTATTAGGCACCACACCAATCCCAGGTTACAGTTCTACTCTTTTGATGTCATTTAACCTTAATTACCTCCTTATAGGCCTCCTTATAGGCCACTTGGGACATTGCCACTTGGGGTAAGACTTAACATATGGGTTTGGGGGATACAGGGGGTGTATCAGTTCAGTCCATAACATTCAATACCCAGACTTTTCCTCAAGGGACGTTTCTATGAAAATAGAACAGTTTGCTCCTTGTCATAAAAGAGGATACGTGTATATATTGGACGAGACCTATTGCTTAAAGATCAGTTTGCTTATTTGCCTAGCAAGTGTAATTCTTTTCTATTTTGCCTGATTATATCAAAATATATCACAATACAATTATATTCCTACAAACTAAGTTTTGTTTTTTTTTTTTTCATGTGGAGAGGGTTATCAACCTCTTGCAAGTAGATGATCCTGTGAACAGTAGCAGAAGAGCTTTAATCGATTGTTGGTATCCTCTAGGACATCAGGCTCAAAAAGACAGAAAAGGTCGACATTCCAAAAGAATGTCAGACCACGAAGTTGTAAACCTAAAGTGGAGGTTACTTGTAAAGAACTGAGTTGCATTCTTGGCATGTGCGCACTTGCGCTCAAGTTAACTTTCACTCACAGTCATATTTAAAGTAACAAATCCGAAGTTTATTTTGCGCCTGCTCTGTTTTCCCTCTGTACACTTGGCCTTCTCTGGACCCTGCCTTTTGCGGTTTTGTGCCCCGTAAAAGCTAGTCGGAATTGGGAAGCGCTCGCTCAGGCGTCCAGGTGACTGGGACAGGGTGGGAACCCGCGGAGTTGAGAGGCTGCGGAACCTCCCGAATACCAATCCCCTCCCACAGCCCACCCCCGGGCGAGAGGCGGAGAGGGCTTCAAACTTCGCTCCAATCCGCGGCCGGCCCTCCCCGGGGTCCCCCTGCTGGGCGACCCGCCCGTCGAGGCCCGAGTGGCAGCGGGAACTTTGCGGAGCGCGAAACCAGGGTCCGCGAGGCGACGCGGGCCCCCCGAGCCCTCCGGGACCTTCCCTCCGCCCCCGCCTCCAGGTCCTCGCCCCACCCGGAGCGCTGGTGATAGGACGAGCCCTGGGCGTGCATTGTGTGTATGCAAAGCAGAGCCCCGGCTCCCCAGGGCTGCCGGACCCGGGCCGGCGCTGCTGTGCGGCTGGGCGGCGGTGGGCGCCGCTGCCCTCCTTGCAACCCCGCGCTGTCATGCCCCCGCCGCGCGGCGGGCGGCTGCGTCCCGGAGCCGCTATATAAGCGCTGGCCAGGGGACACCCGGAGGGGCTGAAGATGAAGGTGCCCGCGTATGGGCTCCCGCTGATTGCCAACCCCTCCCGATCCCGCGCCGCGCGCGGAGCCCGAGGCCGCCGAGGACCCGCCTTCGCCGCAGTAGCAGCTGGAGAAGCGACAGGGGCGGCGGCGGTGGCGGCAGCGCCCGTCTCACGCGCGCGTACAGCGGCGGCGGCAGCTCGGGGGCCGCCGCTGCCCCGGCTGCCATGAGTTGTGCGGAGGTGATGTATCACCCCCAGCCGTATGGAGCGCCCCAGTATCTGCCCAACCCCGTGGCAGCTGCAGCCTGCCCCACAGCCTACTACCACCCGGCGTCCCAACCTGGCCAGCAGGTGAGTCACCGACCCGGCAGCCTGCCGGGGGCGGAGGCGAGGGGCACTGGAGTATCGGCCTGGGGGTCTTACGACGTCCCGCCGGGACTGGGGGCTCGGAGGATGCTCTGCGACCCGAGGGAGCGCCCTAGAGCAGAAAGCCGTCAGAAGACAGGAGAGGCTTCGGCAGGGACAGCAGCAGGGTGGACGGGTGGGGTGTTGGGCGTGAAGCTCTACCTGGCTGGGGACCTCATTGAGCTGTTAGCTCGGGACCTCAGAGGCGGCTCTCACGACCGCCCGGCTACTTAGGGCTCAGTTCTCTGAAGCTTACAAGGGCATCTGTCTTAGCAGGATGTGAGTAAACTTGCCTTTAGCCAAATATTTGGATTCCTTTGGAAAAAGGTAGAATGTTTTGGGGTCCTTTTTTTTTGACTGAGCGGACGAGATGTGCCACTGTGTCACTGACACAGGAGCGGCTACCTGAACAGTGAGCTCATGGAATGATCTTCTGGGACTTCTGTGGTGCAGCGCGGGTCTGGTCTGAAACGTCTATCAAATGCTGCTGGGACTTCTCTGTAGTTTTCTTCTGAGGACTGTGACTTAGCAGACCGAGATTGCTCCCAAAGTTCCTCATTTACTTTTAGTTTCATCAACAGAGGTGTTACAGTTCCTTTGTTGGAAGTGTGTCCCCTGCGAAGGGGCAGTCTTGGAACACTGGGTGGACGGGAGGTGTTCTCCAGGTCAAGAGACCGAGAATGTTATGGATTAAAAGACGTGGGAATCCGGGAGAGGATGCAGTTCCTTTAGAAGGGATAGAAAGGGCTCTGGGAATTTGGCATTAGCTACATCTGATATTAAATTCCACACCAACTGAATGTGTGTCAAGACGTAGGTTGCTTGCCATATGTATCTGGCACGGGTGTGCCAAAATAGGGTCCCCAGATTCTGGGGTCAATTTGATAGGGCAGAGAATACAACTTATTATTATTTTTTCTGACGTGGAGACACCTATCAGGTAACTGGAAGTCACTATCCACAGACTTTGTTGACTTAGTTTTTTAGGAACCGTGGTTTTTTTTTGTGGTTAAACATTCAGTTCTTAAATTAAACTGGCCTCTTCATTTCTATATCTCCTCTACCTCTTTTTCTTTGGTAAAATGATAGCGCTACTCTTTGGAGAGAAATTGTAATTTTTGAGTAGAATCTAGAGATTTTGAATTTCAGCTGAATCTGAAAGGTTCAAGTCCCAGATTTATCTGTTAATCAGTATGATCTTCACTAAGACTAAACGTGGGCAAAAGAGGAAGCAGCTTCTTTTTCTATCATTAAAAATATATATATTCAGCAGCTTCAGCATTTTAGAGAAAGATTACTTTTGGGGAGGGACTCTGAAAGCCGTTTGTAATTTGTGGTCAGGGTGACAAATTAAATCATTTTGTTTGTGGTGTTTGTTTTCCTTTGGATTTAAATATAAAGACATAAGTAATGGTGAAAATCATTAAGTTCAAGTCAGGCAAGTGAGGCAGAGACCCTGGAATCAATCAATTCTGTGTGTTTTATGAACTCTGTCTCCAAAGGACCACCCTTCCCATCTCTCCTTTCCTCATGTCAGGGATGGTAGAGGCCTTCAATTACAAATAGGAATGTGGAAGAGCAACAGACTCAAACTTTACTAGAACATTCAGAAAGGTATTTTTCCCTTTCAAAAATTCCTTGAACTAGTAGAAGTTATGAATAAGGGTTTATTTTCTAGAGTTGTGAAAATAATTCCCTTAAAATATGAATGGATAGGTGGCCTTATAATTGTAATACCTTTTTGATCTAGAAAATAAAATGCAGTGTCAGAAAAATGATAAATGACCAATCATAAAATTAGATTTCAATAAGAATTCAGTACTTTTTTGAACTTTGTAACAGGCCTGAGACTCAGTCCCCAAATCCCATTGTTTTTGCCAGGACCATCCAAAAACTGAAATGAGCTTTCTTTTGTACCTGAACTGGTTCTTTCTGGGCTTGTGTAGGTGTTGTTTCAGTAGATGTTAGGCTGAGTTGACATTAAGAACTTAGTTGAGAAGTGTGCTTGGAAAATTTCATGTTGCTTTTACTAAAGTGGCTTATTTGAGATTACTTTTTTATCAAGTAAATAAACTGACTATAACTGGTCAGTAAATAGAGACTTGATAGTGTAACTACTGTTCTTTCCTGTCAGGAGTTTATTTTGATGACCTATATTTTTTTTTATTGGAAAAAAGAGTAAATCAGGAAATTCTTATCAGGCTGACAGCATTTTTAGACTATGTGGTGCGTGGGTGAAGTGGGACTAATATTGACTTGGCCCTAATGCAGTCATCCGAGAATACATATTTTGGTTGTTTTTGCATTCCATGAGGTTTTATCATTATTATCCATGAAGATTGTTTTCTCCGTACATGGGAAGTGACCCTTAATAGCATCTTGCCTTGGAGACAGAAATTAGGACTACAACTTCTACTGCATTAGAAAAAATTGATTTGATGAAGAGAAAAAAGGAAAAGCAGCAGAAAAATATTAGACAAGAGAACACTAAAGTTGAACGTTATTTTTGTATTCAGTTGTAGTAATGTATCTTTGAATTGATAGTTCCTCTCAAAGCTATATAGTTCAGGCATCTTTATAAATTAGTATTCAAAATGGTTCATTATGATGTCTTTTTTTAAAAAAAAAAACATAAGCATATTTTTCTTCTTAACCTGTGACCATATAGCTGAAAATTATTTTTTGGAATCATCAAACTCTAGGCATGTGCACTCTTAACCTCTCCCCTAAAAGCACAGATGCACTTTTGAAATTATAAGTTTAGTTCCTATTATACATAGTATGCATCTCATGTAAGAAATAGCTTTGTGTCTTAAAAACATAATTGACTGCATATAACATCAAGTTTCATGGTGATGTGTTACTTAGGTGTTTGGTGGGCTAAATGAATCAAAAGTAATTTGTAAATATACCTGAAGCCCCTCATGTGAATTCCTAGAAGTTACAGAGCTGTGTGTAATGTTATAGTGTGTTTTAAAGGATAAGCCCAGCGATGCTGAGCTCCCTGGTCCACATGTGCCACCTCCTCTCAACACCCCCCCCCCCAATCTCTTCATCACCCTAATGCTGAGATCTTCTCGAGGGAACCTTGACTCAGTCTCTCAGCATATGCTCTGAAGGCCTGATGACACTGCAGAACATTGCAGAAGGGAATGCATTTGCCTTTTAACAGTGACAGTAGGGATTAGAGAGAAATTTTTGAAATGTGTGTTAGGAAAAATTGAGGAAAATAATATGAAATCATAGGTCCCCTTTATACCCAGTGGACTTCTCATCTTAAATGCAGTCTGTTACTATCTAACCCCCCATCCCTGTTCATAATATTAACATGAGGAAGATAGTTAAAGAAAAGCTTGCAGAATGTCTGTCATACTTTATAGATGAGGCAGTGAAAGCAGAGAACAGCAACCACCAGGTTTTGATGGTGCGTACAGGTTTCTAGCAATCACACTTCAGGTTTTATAGAAATTAGATAATATTTGCTCTGTCCTCTTTGAAGGTGACTGCTGGGTGAATCTGAATTAAGATTGATGTGCTTATAAGCTTCTAAACAGTAGGCTTAGAATCTGAAGTGGAAGTCCTGTTAGAACTTTATAAGGAGTTATTTTTGCAAATTCTTTCTCTTGACTCTGCTACCTGGATTAGGTCTTTGAATCCTCTGAGATTCTGTTTACCAGGAAAATATGCCTGAAAAACATATTTCAACCCTTTCTTTTACATATGGAGAAATGAATGATCATAGGGCTGAAATGTCTGGCGACAAATTGCCAGGTTTATTGGTGGCAACATTAGGAGCATCGGGTCCTTGCTCCCCAGTGTAGCATCTTTCTACCAGGCCATGCAATCCCCACCTTTTTGTATTGCACAATAGGCTTATTTTTGTCTTCAGTCCTCCAAATCAACTTTTTGATAAAGAAGATTAATATGCAGTAGATTCTTTGGCCTTGGAGTTTGAAATTCTTTCCAAGTCCTTGGTAGTGTACTTTTTTAGTTTAAGCATTCCAAAGTCCTTTTGCAAGCATTTGTATTATGCTAATGGCTTTTGCTACCCATGTTGCATCCAGTGTTGATGAGACAGAATGTCCACACAGCAAGTGAACATTTATTTATTTTAAAATAGGAATTGGTATTAACAGTCGGCTTTAAGTGCCTCATCTATCATTGCTGTTCCAACATAAGTTTAGATTCATTAAGAGGAAAGAATACAATTACATCCTAAATAGTTTCAGTCAACTTAGAGGATCTAATTTTCTTGCATCTGTAAGCAGGACTTAAGTGGATTTCTAAGAATTCATGCAGGACTTCTTTGAAAAAGAACAGCCCCTATAATTCCACACTACACAAATTAACTTTCACCAGGAACTTTGGAGCTGAAAGTGCCCCACATTTGTATCCTTCTAATAACTTTCCAGCCAGAATATTCAAACCTAGAGGAAAATCAAACTTTAAAATAACTAAACTGAATTGTTGTCTATGGCAGTCAACCAGAATAGAGATTATAGTAACCCAAGTAAGCGCAGGCTTGAAAACCTATAAAATCATGCATGGTGGGGATATGGTCTCCAGGAAGTCAAATGCTAGGACAAGGTAAACTTTCTTGGAAATTTCAGTTTACACTATTTTGGTTACATGCAAGGAAGTTCTACTTCCTCTAGTAACTTAGAATAATCTCCTATCTCGTGAAGTTGGAGATGGCAGAATGGGATTCACCCCAAGGGCAGTGAGGCCAGTAGGGTAGAGTCAAAGGGTAGAATCGTGCCCTTGTGCCCAGTGACTCTTTACTTCCAAAGGGATCGCTGGCAGTACAAGGCCAACGGTGCTGGGCCACGTACATATTTCTGTCTTGTATCTTTCTGTGCAAAAGGAATTTTCTCTGAGATTGAAAATATTACGCTCATGATTACTACGGCAAATCCTAAAGAAAATTGTGAGCTAGGAGACTGCCA